TAGTTCTGCAGAACGCCATCTAAAAATTTGGGTGAGAGCGCACTCAAGCTCTCAGCCAATTAAGATAGAAAATCCTGTTAGTAAAGTTTACCCTGTGACTTTTTAAACTTTCCTTTTTTTGTTGTCTTTGAGACAGAGTCCGCTGTGTCGCCCAGGCTGGAGTGCAGTGGCGCTATCTCTGCTCACTGGCAACCTCGCCTCGCCGGGTTCACGCGCTTCTCCTCGCCTCAGGCTCCCAATAGCTACGGATTGCAGGCACGCTGATACCACGCAGGCTAATTTTTCTATTTCTAGTAGAGACGGGGGTTTCACCATGTTGGCCAGGTTGGTCTCGAACTCCTGACCTCGTGATCCACCCGCCTCGGCCTCCCAAAGTGCTGGGATTACAGGCGTAAACTACCGCGCCCGGCCCCATTTTTAAACTTTCTTTGTACTTCCTAGCGCTTTAGTGCCTGGCATACAGTAGATACTCAAGGTCTGTGGAACGCATGATCAAAAAGATCCATTTTAAGTAACGTTCCCGTAGCCACACACCTCTGCAGAGCTCCAACAGGCAGCCCGAGGAGCAACGCAAGAAGCTACACGGACGAAAAACGACGGAAGCCGAGGTGACAGAAAAGCAAAACCCCAATTCTGGGCCAGGAAGCAACCCCAGGCTCGGAGAGCAGAGCCCCTGGTCACATGACCACACGGCCCGCCTCTGACGCAGTCGCGTGCCTACGTACGGCTCGACCCGCCCCACCGCGGGCGAGGTGACGTCACGTCCGGCACAGCGTCACCGCCCCCTCACCTCGGCCCGAACCGTAGTTCCCCGCCCCGAGCCCGAGACCCAGCGCCAATCTTGAGCCTCACAACGTGCGACAATTAAGAAAAAGCCGCTCCCCGAGACCTGGGATCTGGCTTGCTCAAGGTCCCACACCCTCCCGGGCCCGATCCAATGCCGCCCGGGGCTCTCTTACCGGCCCTCATCTCCTTCAGTCTCCCTCTTCGGCAGCTGTTCCCGCCCGCCGCGCCTTCAAAGCCACCAATTGCAGTTCCCGCCGCCTCCAAGCCCCGCCCAGCGGAGCGCAAGCAACAGTCTTGGGCACAGGGGATTGCACGGGGAAGCGACTGAAGCGAAGGTCGCCGAGCCCCCGCGCCGCTGTTCTTACAAGTGTACAGCCTTGCACCACTAGTGGATTTACACATAGGCTCCGTTAGCTTCTGGCTTGTGTGCTCGGCTTGTGACTTAGACGCTGTCGTGCCTCAGTGGACTCACTGTGCCTCCCCCCACGACGGACGGAAATGGGCCCGTCCAGGCCAGGCGGTGCATGCGCCTCGGGGCCCGCGGGCAGCGGGGGCGGGGAGCCCGGACCGCCGTGGAGCGGTGGAGGGCGTCAGTAGCCTTCGGTGTCTGGCAGGCGGTTCAGCTCTCGGCTCCCCTGCAGCCGGCCTTCGGGTCGGTCGTCTCCGTTGGTGACTGCCGCTTCAGTTCTCCCGGTGTGGCCGCGAGTCCGGTGAGTCTTGGGAGTCCAGGACGTTCCGAGCGCTGTCCGTTGTCCGTCCTCAGGTCCCCTGACAGCGCGTCCCGCCGAGCCCCTTCCTGCCGCCGGTCGGCCCCAGGAGATGGGGACCCGGAAGACCCGACTGCCGCAGGCCCATAGCCGGGCTGCTGCGCTGGGGAGGCTGCGAGTGAGATGGCTGGGCGCTAGCTGAAACACGCTGGTGGCTGGGAGCGGCCTTGGGCGTCGCTCGGGGTTGGAATCCGCCCGCCACTCACTGGCTGGTGACCTTGGGCGCGCTCCTTCCCTCCCGGAGACGGGGCTTCCTCGCCTGTAAAATGGGCCTTGAGGAATGGAGCCCTCAACACAGGGTTTGACACGATGAGCGCCCAATAAAGTGTTGTTGTTTATCTAGCAATTGAGAATTTGCAGGTAGAAAACGGGCGCCGTTCAAGCACGTCTCAGCTGCAGTGCCCTGTGCCGGTCAGTACACTTTACTCTTTTTTCCCCTTTAGTACCTTTTTTTTTTTTCCCTCCAGGAAAGTAATACGCTCACCTTTCTTTTCTTGGGTTTAAAGATCAGGCGTTTTATGTAGAGTCTTAAATAGTTTTGGAAGTCTTCATTGAAAACCTTAAAGGCATGGAAGTTTTCGATGGCAAAGGAATTGTGTTATGATACCATTCGTATCTCCTCTCCTGTATATGCATGCCTTTTGCACTTGTTTAGTTGATTTGAAATGAGTTTCTTTTTCATCCTTTTCCTGCTGCGTTGAGGCCCGAACTAGTTGTCAATTTCTGACATTTAGCGAACATGGATTGGGCATTTACCACGTGCATTTGCAAGAATACTCCCTCACGAGCCTGTGCGTTCCTTGAGATGTATGAACGAGTATTTTTCTCTGAAATTCACATGATTTTGGCGGAGTGCTCGGCACCTTGTAAGCCCTGGTAATGTTTATTCAGGGAAAGCTGCGAGGTCGCATTCACTGAGAAACTCTTTGGTGGAAGTCAGAGTAGTTAAGCCCTTCTCCCCAGGCAGCCCCCGGGGTCCGTCTCAGAAGCAGCCTGGCATGGGGTCTACAGTACTAGCGCCAGTCACGGTCTTGGTGGTATCGGTTCAGAATTGGTCCTGTGAGAAGTCGATGTGATAAGTGGAAGTGGGCAGGGGAGGCAGTCCCTGACTGTTTGCTACCTCTGCTGCAGTGTGGCTCATAGTTTGAAAAGTTGAAAAATAATTATTTAACTGATACCAGGGCCGAAATGTAGGCTTTAAAAATGTTTAATGTTATTTATTTTTATATATTTTTATTTTTAAAATTTTATTTTGAGATGGCGTCTTGCTCTGTCGCCCAGGCTGGAGTGCAGTGGCGCGATCTCGGCTCACTGCAACCCCCACCTCCCAGGTTCAAGTGATTCTCGTGCCTCAGCCTCCCGAGTAGCTAGGGTTACAGGCCACGCCCCGCTAATTTTTGTATTTTTAGTGGAGACGGGGATTCACCCATGTTGGCCCGGCTGGTCCTGACCTCAAGTGATCTGCCCACCTCGGCCTCCCAAAGTGCTGGGATTACAGGCGTGAGCCACCGCGCCCAGCCTAAAAAAATGTATTTTAGAAAGCAGAGTGTTTACAGTTTTTTTTCTGGAGAACAGATTCTTCAGACCCTGAACAACAGACTTTTCTGGCCTTGTTTTTTGCATGTTTTGCAATAACATTAGAAATTGCAACTGTAGTGTAAATTTCCTGGGCAGCCGCACAGTAGGAAAATCTTTCTGAAGAAAAGCCAACTGGCATTAAAATACAGGGTTCTTCCTTGTGATGATAGATTTGCTGAAGTGAGTTACTAGAATGCTTACCCGTTTTCTTTATACTAGAGTTAATACAGCGCTCTTGATTTATTTTCTAAAATTGTGCCACCTGGTGGTTGAACTCTGTCTTAGACTGCTCTTGAGGAAAATATGTACCTCAGAGTTGGTAGACTAAAGTTGAAGGAGTAAAATAAAGCTATAATTTTTTATATCTTCACTAAGAGTACCCTACCGCTTCTACCCTCTCAGCTTACTCCCCAGGAAAAGTTAAAATTGCCCTTATGGGCCCCTTAGCTAGCTATCAAACTACATTTGACAGCTGAAAATTTTAAGGGATTTCAGTGGACTGTTTGGTATTGTGTGCATACACGCAGTGGATGGGGCTGGATTGAGGAGGGAGGTGGTGAAATTGTGACAAATTTACCCTTTTGATGTTTTCTCAAATGCCAGTGTAAAGATGAGACTAACAAACTGTTTGGTGGAAGTCAGAGTAGTTAAGCCTTTCTCCCCAGGCAGCCCCTGGGGTCACACCCAGGAGCAGCCTGGCATGGGGTCTGCACTGGAATTAAATATTATTACTCTATTCAAATAATAACAGTTTGAATGGAATTTATCCCTCTCTCTGTTTCACTGGAAACATCCAAGAACGAGGTCTTATGTTCCTTTCACTCTTGTTTCCATCATGCTGATGTTCGTAATTATTATTTTTTGAGATGGAGTCTCACTCCGTCGCCCAGGCTGGAGTGAAGGTGGTGCCATCTCGGCTCACTGCAACCTCTGCCTTCAGGGCTCAAGCGATTCCCCTGCCTCAGCCTCTCAAGTAGCTGGGATTACAGGACCCCACCACCACACCCAGCAAATTTTTGTATTTTTAGTGGAGACTGGGTTTCACTATGTTGGCCAGGCTGGTCTCGAACTCCTGACCTCAAGTGATTTGGCCTCCCAAAGTTCTGAGATTACAGGCGTGAGCCACTGCTTCCAGCTTCACATAAGTTATTTTAAACCCATGCCATCACTGAGATATAGGTCAAGAGCAAATTCCATTTTATGGAAGAGAGACTCAGGTTTCAGATTAGTAACCAAAATGACATAACTTGTGAGTAGCTGACTAATGACAAATAGAATACTCTTCTCTTTTTGTGTGTGTCTTGACAGACTCACTATTTCCACCCTTACAAAATAATATTGTGTTTTATTTAAATAATACTGCTGTGGAACTTGGGCCTAGAATGACTACCTGGTGAACTTGTAGTCAGTTAGAAGCTCTTTGGGAATAGTTTTTTCCATCTGAATTTATTTCATTCACAAACTGCTGTGAAGGCATGTCTTTCCTATTTTGAACATGGATTAAAAAATCTGTCATGGTTAGAGATTATGTTGGGTTGTATGTAACTTTGTAGCTAACTGCTGTGTGACCTGGGGCTTAGTTTCTCTATGAAAATGTGGGCAGTGCATATTTTGACCTGTAAAAAGACAATTTCTCATGGTTCATCTGAATTTAAAAGGCTACCTGTTTCATAGGGTTGTTGCATTACAAGACTTGTGCTTAGCACGTGGCAAGTGTTCAACAAATTATTTTCTAAACTAATAATGATACTTTCTTATGAGTTTGAAGAAATTTTAAGAATAAGAGTATGGAATACATATTTAGCTTTTCTTTAGTTTGTAAAATGTATTTTGAGTTAAATTGTGTTACTAGAATAGTCTTTTAAAGGTGAGTACTGGAAGACATCAGCACTTAATTCCATGTGTTCTGAGAGAACATTGCCATTGTTTTACAGTTGTACCTTATGTATTACACCCCAGAATACAGCAGTACATCTGTATATGCACCAACATTTAGGTAAAGCCAAGTGACACAAAGTGGATGGAAGGGAGCATAGGTGACGGGTATATAGAAGGCAGGGGGAGGAAGAGCCTATCCAGCTAAAAATATATGGTAGAAGAAAGAAAGGAGTGACGGGGAAAGCAAGGAATCTGTTGGATAAGGGATAAGGTGAGTGTTCAGAGCTTTAGGTTAAGTAGTACTTTCTTACCAAGAATAGGAAAAGGAAATGAAATTAAATCATTTTATTCTTTGACATAGTCATCTAAGCTAAGAAAGCAGAAGAGCCTCATAAATATATACAATTATTATTTGTCAATTAAAAGTAAAACTAAATAATGAGAATTAGAAGGGAAGACGTTTTACTGGTACACCACCGAGATCGACAATAGCATACATATTTGAGGTAAACTTGTTGTAGAGGGAGGAAAATATATACCATTTTATGTACTTAGGCTTATATACATCTTTGCATCTATTAATATTAGTCAGTGTCTTCTCAGGTATTTGTCAATTAAAGAAGTCGTTTTGGTACATCATAAGCTTGTTTCTGAATTGTAAAGGCACATATTTGAGTGCTGGTTGATAGAAAAGTGCAAAAATATTTTGTCAAATACATTTAGAAAATGTTAGAGACATTTTCTAGTGATTAAACCAATGCTTGTTTTCTGTTGTTGTTGTTTTTGTGATGGAGTCTTGCTCTGTTACCCAGGCTGGAGTTCAGTGGTGCCATCTTGGCTCACTGCAACCTTGCCTCCCAGGTTCAAGCGATTATCCTGCCTCAGCCTCCCAAGTAGCTGGGATTACAGGCGCCCGCCACCATGCCGGGCTAATTTTTTAAATTTTTAGTAGAGATGGGGTTTCGGCATGTTGGCCCGGTTGGTCTTAAAGTCCTGACTTCAGGTGATCCACCTGCCTCAGCCTCCCAAAGTGCTGAGATTACAGGTGTGAGCCACCGCACCT